TCCTTTGGTTTTTCTATACAAGATCATATTATCTGTAAGGAGAAATAGTTTTATTTCTACCTTCTAGTCTGGATACTTCTAATTCTATTATTTTGCCTAATTGCCCTGACTAGAACCTCCAATCCAATGTTGAAGAAAAGTGTCAGTCCAGCCCTCTGTGTCTTATTCTTGATCCTAGGAGGAGCATCCTGTCTTTAATCATAAGTAGGGTGTCTTGAGTTTTTGTAAATTTCCTTAATTCAGGTTGAGGAAATTTCCTTCTATTTCGGCTTCATGTATTTTTATCATGAGAAGGTGTTAAATTTTGTCAAGTGCCTTTTCTGTCTACTGAGATGATAACGTGACCTTTGTCTTTTATTCTGTTAACACTTTTTCTACTAGGGAGGCCGTGGTCAAAGTAAGGATTTGAAAGCCAGTGAGACACCCTCCCTGTACTGCCTCCCCCCACCCCCACCCCCACCCCTGCCACGCACCTGTGTAACTCTGGGCAAGGTTTCCACCCCTCCACTCTCCTAGCACATAACATGGGCATTTTATCGATCGACAGTCTTCAGTAACGTCAAGTCTTGATGGGTGGGAGTTGGCATTACAGGGGTGGGGGTAGAGTGGGTGGGCATTGCTAAGCCAACCTGAGAATCAGCTGTTTCACTTGCTCTGGTGGTGGGGCTTCCAGATGTTCTGACAGGAGGTAGTTTGACTATACAGGGGGGCTGGGGTCAAGCTTGTTCCAAGCTCCGTCCAGCCCAGGTGCCTGCTTAGCCTACCTGCCCCAGAATGCCCCAGCACATCAGGGTCTGGAGTCTCACCTCCCTCTGTCCTGGCCTCAGGGACTGCGTGCTCACAGCAACATGCTTCTCCACATAAGATACCGCCTTCTGCCACCACTGCACCTCCTCCCCCAACAGCCATGGGAGAGCCCACTGGCTCTGGGCCGGGGTGCAGAAATGGGGCCTTGTATCAGTGATGGTGTGTAATAACCGAGAGGCAGGACATACCCTTCCCTCCCCTCACCCCCCCAGTTTTTCTGACTTTCTTTTCTTGGCCTGCCATGGGAGCCTGGCTCTTCCTGCTCTGTTGTTAACCATTATGTGACCTTGGACAAGACTGTCTCCTGTGGCCTCTGTTTGGCATCTGTCCACAGGGACTCAGTCACAGCACTGGGGCAGGGGGATGGGGGTGCGATTAGCCAATGGTACAGAGGGCCTGCAGCTGTCTGCCAGGGCCCCCCCACACACACTGGCTCCAGACCACCCTCCTGGCATCTCCAAGAAGCTCTGTAGCCCCCAAGTCTGTCAACACCCTTGTGCCTATTTGAAGTTTGGAATTTGCAGGTGGGGTTGGGAGGGAGATTAAAACATTCTAATAAGCCCAAAGAGTTCACGCGCCTTTGTCTGAGGCACGTGAGGCTGGTTCTCACTTGTGGCCAACGTGCTGACCACCTCGCTGGGCGCTCTTGGACACAAGCCAGCTGCTTTGCTTGTTTAATCTGGGTCTGGGTTCTGAGTGTATGGGTGGGGGTACCCTCCCCTCTCTCTAGTGCTCAGCGTTTCCTGACCCCTGTGCCCAGAAAGGCCGGGTTGTTCCACCTCCTGAGAGACTGGGGAGGGCACCTGCCAATGGCACTGAACTATAAGCACGGAGAATCAGGGCACATTCGGCTCACCCACCGGTGACTGCTTTGCCATCCAGTGCTTGGCACTGGGCACGTCCTAACCAGACACATATATGCTGCTTCTGGAAGTTTTCAGAGAACCAAACACGCCCTGAACCTCCGGGGTAGGTGCGTGGAGGAGGCAGCACCCTCTGAGACCGGGGCTGGCCGGGCAGGGGCAGGGCGCGGGGCCGGCGTGGCGTGGCTGCGGGGGCAGGGCAGCCGGGTGCCTGGGCTGGCGCTGGCACTGCTGACGCGCGGGGTGGGAGCTGTCATTCGCCTCCCACCTTGTTAGGTAACGCAGGGGCCTGTAGTCTGCCCTTGAGGGAGAGGGCATGTAACTGCGACCCGTTTGTTAATCTCTGCGACCTCAGCATCCTCTTCGTGGGATTATTTGCGGATCTCGGAGGGATGCCTGGCCCCTCTGAATGCAGCATGGCCCTGCGACGGTTGTTAAGCGGATACAGCCTATGGTGGAAAAGTCTTTATAGACCAGAAAAATGGTCGTGGTTTATTGAGTGAAAATTCAGGTTGCAAGACAGTTTCCTGTTGTAAAACTGTGTGTGTGTTCAAGCGTCTGCGCGCCCGAAACGAGGACCCGGGAGGTGGTAGGGGCAGGGCTGTCTGCGCGTGTCTGGTTTCTCCTTGTCTTTGATCTTCAGGTTTTCCGGCAGGTTGTATTGGTGTTTGCAATTGGCTTTATTGATTTTGTAATTATGGGGGCCTTATTAGGAACCGTAGGTAACGACTGCGGTGATTGTGTGTGTGTTCCTGTGTGACTGCAGAGTTGGGGGCAGAGTCTGCTTGGGAGAGCAGGGCTCTGCGGGCGGCCCGGGACAGGGCCTGGGAGCAGGCCTGGGTGGCGTGTGGACAGGCGCTCACCAGGCTTCTCCTCCATCCCAGATGACAGGATCTGCTCACCGCCCTTCATGGAGCTCACGAGTCTGTGCGGAGAGGACACCATGAGGCTCCTGGAGAAGAATGGCCTGGCCTTCCCCTTCAGTACGTTCCGCCCCGGCCACCTGGTGCTCCCGCTGGCTCTGGGCCCCCCACTGCATCCTGGAAACAGACCCTCCTGTGGTGTTTCTGCAGCACAGAAGATACTGTTGGGCCTGGCCTGGCAGTATCTGTCCAGGTCACCCCGAATGCAGATGCCAGCCGTGGTCACATCAGCCTACCCCCACCCTTCCCTTCCCAGGGGTGACGGGAGCTGGGCAGTTGCTTGGCAGGCCAACAGACCTTGCTCACCCTGCTCTACTTTTCTCTCTCCCACCCACAGTTTGCAAAACCAGAGTGGCTCATGGCACCAACTCCCACGAGGTGAGTGGAAATTTCGATGATCTGATTGCCGGCCAGTCCCCTCCCCCCGAAGCCTCCTACCTACTTTCAGCCCACAGTGTCTCCCGGGGAACCTTCTAGAGCCCATGTGCCAGATCCCACCCCTGCTGCTCCCGCTCCCTGTCCTTGTCCTGACCCCAGTTTGGCTTTGTGCACCCTTGCCCTGTGCCTGTGACGCCCCAAGGCCAGAATGGGTGTGCCTCTGGAGGAGCAAGCTAGGCATGCCCCTGGCGACCTGTCCTTGGCTTCTGTACCCTCAGGAGCAGTCACTCTCTGGGCGCCTGGGCCGGTCAGGCTCTGGGCCAGGCCTGGGGGCTGCTCCCTGGAACAGGTCCCTTCTCGCTGAATTTGGAAGGTGGGTGGAGGAAAGGGCACGTCCTGCTGACTGTTCATCCACCCTCACCCACGCATTCACTCAGGGTGTCCCGGCCCACCTTGGGTGCCAGGGGAGGGAGGGTGTGTAAGATGTGGGTCCTGCCCTAGGGGGAGACGGAGCCCTGGGAGTGAGAGACGTGTCAGTCTCACATGGTTCCAGAGAGGGAGCGGAGGAGCCGCCTGGGTTGGTCCTTTTGGGTCTCGCCTGTCTTCACGGTCCGGGGAACTACATCTCAGCCTTCGGCTGGGGTCCTGAGGCCCAGCCCCCCCACATAGCTGCACTTCACACCATCAGGGGAGGGCATTGCTCACCCCAGTGGGCATGGGGACTAGTTTTGCCAGCCCACTCTGCATTTTCATTTGAAGTCCACCGAACTGCTGGGGTTTTATTTTGTGCATTAGGCGGTACAAGCACAGTGGCTTGCTCCACCGTGGAACACCCCCCCCTTTCTTTTTATCACACTACTAAGCAAAACCTCAGTGTGAGGAGGCCCCCCACCATGGTGGTTATTGTTGCTGCCTTACAGGTGAGGAGATGGAGCTTGTGCGGCTGGCTGGGACTTGACCCCGTGCCTGGCTCTCCTGTGGTCTCTTATTCTTGTCCAAAGCTACAGCCTGCACACACACACACACACACACACACACACACACACACACACACACTTTTGTTTCTCCGCGGGGCCTGGTTCTCCATCTTCCTCTGCCCAGTATGAGGCCTGGTAGGGGCCTGGTAGCGTGGCCCTCTGACTGTTGTGAGGGTGGCAGTGGGCACGCTCTTGAGCAGCCACCTGTGCCAGTCCAGTTAACCCCCGGGCATCTGGAGGGTGCCTCCTGGGGCCTGGGCGAAGGTCAAGCTGGGTTCCGGCTGTGGCATCCGCCCCGAGCTATGCTGGGAGACTCAGCCGTAGCCACAGTGGACAAATTTCTCAGTTGCCTCTCGGCCCTCCTGGTTTCGCCCCCCACCCGGCCCCCCAGACTCTCCTGCCAGGGCCTGTGTCGGGCCTGGGAGTGGCGTATTCCCACATCTCCCTCCAGGGTGGCTGCTCGCGTGCAAGGGGTGACACTGCGTGCCAGCCAGACCCCTCCCTCCCCAACTCTGTCGATGTGCAACTGGCCCTGGGCCGCTCAGCTTCCTTTTCTGCACAGGGGCAGCACGCTGGTGGTGACAGAGGTCCATGTGAGGACACACCCGCGAACTTGCGAAAATGCCCGGCTGCTCAATAGGAGGCAGCCTCGTCATTGCACAGGCCCTCACCCCAGGCCTCCCTGCTCCCATTGCACCCTCCTGGGATGTGGAGGCACGTCCTCTCGGATGGCCTGAGCTCTGATGAGCACACACCCCAGGGCCCCCAGCCCCGGACCTCAGTGCGAGCCCCCCGACACGCACAGCTCCGGCGTCAGAGTCCCAAACCCTGCCGGAGAGTGGTCGAACCCCACCCCACGTTCCTGGGATTGAGAGCTTCTTGGGGCCCCTCGCCCACAGAGCCAGGGACAGGCCGTGGTGGCAGTGCTGTGGCCTTGCGACCGCTGTGTCTGAGGCCGGGGCTGGCGGACCCTGACGAGTGCTTGGCCCCTGCCTCCCCAGATGGCCATCGTGTTCAACCAGGAGGGCCTGAGTGCCATCCAGCCGCCCTGCGTGGTCCAGAATTTCATCAACCACAACGCCGTCTTGTACAAGGTGTTTGTGGTGGGCGAGTCCTACACCGTGGTCCAGAGGCCTTCGCTGAAGAACTTCTCCGCGGGCATGTCAGGTAACTGGGCCTGCACTGCTTCCACTGCCCAGCCCCGGGCGCGGCAGGGGCTGGCGTCGGCCGTCCAGTCCGCGCCTCCCGTTTCCCACACATGCGCCTTCTGGAAGGGAGGCGGTGACCTGGAGGTCGCCAGAGTTGTGAAGTGGTTGACACAGACCTCGGAAGGGAACGACACCCCCTCTGCGGCCGTCATAGGGACTCTGTCCTCCGGAACCACCGAGAGATTTCTGTCCCCAGGGCGGCTCCTGGCGCCTGCGTGTGAATGGGACTCAGGCCCAGCGTGGGGGCGGCCCGGTTGGCCGTCTGGGAGGCCGCAGGCGGGGCTGGCTTGGACATGGGGCAGAGCCCCGACAGCCCTGCCGGGTCGCCTCACTGTTTCCCACGCGGGGCACAGGGAGTTTCTTGCTGCCGAGGTGGCTGCGCTGTTTATGGGCAGCTGTGGTCTGGTTCACGGGCCGTCCTAACTGGGAGCTGGGCAGGGCAGAGGGGCAGTCCCCCCACTGTGAGCCCTCCGCGTGAGGACCCCGCATCGGCCAGTGGCTGCTGGTCCTAAGGGCCCCTCAGATGTCACCAGTGGGGCCACCGCTGGACACCGCCATCCTCTAGGGGGTTCTCTAGAGAGGAGGGGAGTCGTGTTGGGCACCAGCTGCCCACGGGACCCCAGTCCCGTTTCAAAGCCTAACACTGAGATGAGGACTCGCTGGTGGGGGGCTGCTCTGGCGCCCCTCCCGGTGGCTGGAGGCGGCTCCGAGGCGCCTCCTGGGCTTTGCGCGGCGGCCGAGTCTTGGAAGGGGCCGGCGGACCGGCTTGGCCTGTGCCCAGCGTGCTGTGCGACGCTGTGGGCTGGACCTGCTGCCGCTTTCTGAGCGGCCTCAGCTGCTTTGGCTTCTGAGCAGCAGCGCATCTTCCTCACGCCCCTCCTGGAGGCAGCCACCACCTGTCAGCGTCCACTTCCCCGGCTCCAGGCCGCTCCTCTTGAGTAAAGTTAGCTGTTCTCCCTGTCAGCCCCCGCCCCGACCGCTGTCCCTCCCATTAACCCGGCCCCGACAGCCGGCGACTGAACTGCCATTTCCCTCCCCTGGGCACAGGTAGGTGGGCTCCAGGCTGCACTTCGGGGTTCCGGACAAGCAGTCCCCACGCCCGGACAGCGGGACGGTCTGGGGCTGAGGGGACCAGCGTCCTGATGCTCCCTTCGTATGTGATCTGCACCAGCAAGAGGCATTCTTACCAGTTGTGGGTTGGAAGAGACAGATGTTTCATGAATTCTGTTTCCTGATTTTTAGAAATAGACACTTTAAAGCTGTGGACCATTTACGGCTTTAAAAGTTGTTTGAAACAACAAACCCCAGGTGCAAAATCACTCCATTTCCACCCGGAAGGCGTCTCCTTTTTCTCGGGGTGCTGGCCACGTGCTGGGCCAGCCTGTCCAGACGCTGGGGCCGCGTGGCCTGCACCTCTGTCCACTCGCTTCCAGATTGCCAGTTTTCCGTAACTTTCAGCCTGGCGCCGAATACGCAAGCTGATAAACACGGATGATTCTCAGACACGCGAGTAACCTCCAGGGGGCCTGTCCACCCGGGCCCAAAGCCGATTTCCTGTCTGCTGTCTTCGGGGCGCCGTGCCGGAGGGGTGCCTCTGTGGGCTTCGTTCTCTTACCCCAGTTCTCTCCCTCTGGGGGAGACGCACGACCTGTGGGAGTCCTAGGCTCCCGGCAGCCTTGCCCTTGGGTCCTGGTTCCCATTGCCCGGCCTGGCACCCCGGCCGCCCCCTTTCTGGGCAGGGACGTGGGACCCCTGAGTGCGGGTTCTTCTGGATCTAGGTACAAACAGGGACGCCAGCCAGCCCGCCACCTGCAGCACGCTTCTGCTCAGACTCGCCGGTGCACTGCTCACTCACTGGTCCCGGTGACCCCCTGGGAGCTGAGGTCGGGCTCTCAGCGGTCGTGCTCGTCTGTGCCAGGCACTGTCTCGCTCCCCTTCCGTGCAGCTGACGCCAGCGAGCAGCGTCCTCAGCCTTCTGCGAAGGCCGGGCCGTCCATTTCCAGCTCCGCACGGCGCTCAGTGTGCCGCTGGAGGGGGGCTGGCGGCGGCATGTAACCGAACAGGCCTGGCCGTGTTCCCCTAGAGCCTCACGGCAAATGCTGTGGCCAGCCCGCGCTGGCCTGTAGTTGTGGTGCCCTAGGCTGCCAGGCGCTCGGAGCCTCCGGATTTCAGCACAAGCCGGGCTGCCACGCACCTGCCGTGTGCCCAGCCCAGGGCCGGGCTGTGCACGGAGCCTGCCCTTGCGTGCTTCCCTTGTGGTTGGGAGACCGCACACCGGAGGGAAGGGACAAAGGACCTCACGGCGTGGGATGAGTGTCGCTGGGCCCCGTGGGGTGAGGGAGCCTCCCAGGCAGTGGCCCGGTGGCCCCTGAAAAGTGATCCTTGACGGGGATGTGAGGAAGCCCCGGGCCAGCCTGGGCGTCACCGAGACGGTCTCGCCTGCCCCAGAGAGGCTGGAGCAGGCAGCTAGTGAGGCTGCGGAGAATGGCTGCAGTTCGCGCGCACCACCGAGTCACGGGGCTGTGGGGGCTGCGCTCGTCTTTCCTCTTCTTCTGAACCTGAGCTCGTTGGGGACAGCTGCTGGTATTCCTCATGGCCCTCTGCCGTGCTGCAGGGAGTCGCTGGTGACCCTTTGCCAGGATCTGTGCGTTTCAGGGCTCATCCGGGAACTTCGGCTTAGGGTCCCCAGGCCCAGAGAGCAGGGCCTGGCCAGCTCCGTCTTTGGAGGGAATAGGTCACTTAAAGCTGCCCCACGGGCTGCCGCTCAGGGCTTCGAGCCCTTCTAGCCTGTCTGGGCCCCGGGCAGAGTGGCGGGAAGCTGCTCCCACTCTCCCTGCCGAGTCCCCTGGCCGGAGCTCCCAGGTCAGTTAGCCAGGAAGGAGAGCATGTTGATTGATCTTGCCACAAGAAGCTGCTGGGTGATGCAGTCCAGTCCAGTGGACTCTGACATCAGAGTGCCCAGCGCCCCTCCCTTGCTGGCAGAGCCGAGCGCCCGCGGAGCCCGCTGGAGGTCCTGCGGGCCTCCAGCTCCCTGCACGTGGCTGTGTCCACCTGTTTTAGGTGCTCCCTTCCCCCCAGGCCAGTTCTGCCAGCCTGGCCCTCGCCCCAGGGAGCCAAGTGGTGGGTGGGGGTGCGCCCTGGTCTCGGTGGGGTTGAGCCAGGCTGGGCTGCAGGGTGAGAAGGTGGGCAGTGCCTCAGAGAGCAGAACACCCCCCCAGCTGCTTGAGCCCTGCTCCGACCTCTGTCCACAGGGCTCACCACCCACCAAGGCTCACTCCTTCTGGCTGTGGGTGCCCAGGAGGATGACCGTGGGGCTGCTTGGCACAAGTCCCGCAGGGTGTTTATTTTCCCCAGGCTCCTCCCCAGGACCGTCTCTCGTGCCCCCCGTCTGGACTGGCTCTGGTCGGAACGGCGGGAGGACTGTCGGGCACACCAGGGCGGCCAGGGGCCTGTGTGCCCCGCTAGCGGGAAGGATGCCAGGTACATCTCAGCGCCTGCCTGCTTGGCCTCCGCCCGAATCACTTCCTCATGCATGATCGTTGCAGCGCCGTAGTCCTGGAGCTGGTGGGTCCTTGGCAGCCAGAGCAGGGGTCCCCTCGCCCTGGCCCCTGGCATGCAGTCTTTCACCCAGGGGCTGGGTGACGGCAGCCGCAATGTCCCGGAAGGACTGAGGCAGGGCCGCTGGGGCCATGTGGGGCTGGTGCCCCAGCGCCATGCTTGGGGGCGGTCACGGGGAGGCGAGAGACAGCGCTGCAGAATCAGCCCCAGCTTGTGGTTTGGTGATTCTTGCAATCTTGTGCCCACATCTCCAAGTGCTGCCGACCAACTGATCAGCTGGCCCGTGACCTTACGTGTCCCCAGACGACCTTAGTTTACTCCCCAAAGACATTCCTACTCCGGATGAATCAACTCACTGATTGCTCATTGCTCTCATTCTTGGGATCGGTCTACCTCTCTGGGCACCCCCGGCGGGACAGAGGGGCACGGGCTGCCTGGGAGGTGGGTGTGGTGGGGGAGTTGGGGGCGTGAGGGGCCGAGGGCATTTCAAGAGGCTGTGCCGGCCTCCAGAGGCAGACAGCAGTGACCCAGATGCTTTCTTGGGTGGGTGCTGTAGAAGCCCATGTTCTAATCTGCTAGGCCGCCCCTCAGTAGCTGGGAATGGCAGGGCCCTCAGTACTCTAAGCACTCACATGCTAAGCGGCAGTCTGACTGTTTCTTGAATGCCATCCCTCCCAGGGGGGATCTGGAATGCTGGACTAAAGGGCACTCACTCCAGCTTGCAGCCCTGGGCCTCCATTCTCGGGCCCACGGCTATTCCACCCAGCCCTTTCCATGTCTCAGCCCAGACAGGATGCTAAGAGGGAGGCGTAGGCTCATCGAGGCAACCATTTTTATGTGGGAGGGAAAACTGGAACAGGACCCCTGGCCGGGCACACATCCGTTGGGGGTGTTGTGTATCCAGGGTGGGGTGCCGGGTCCCTGGCTGCGGAGTCCACAGGCCCTGGGCCCGCGGCTTGGATGGTGCTGCCCCCTGGTGGCGGGCGGTGGCGTCACTGGCCCTACCTTGAGCGTCTAACTGGCTCTCGTCTTTGCTCTTCCAGACCGGGAGTCCATCTTCTTCAACAGCCACAACGTGTCCAAGCCGGAGTCGTCCTCTGTCCTGACTGCGGTAGGTCCCTCCCGCCACAGTGGCTGCAGAAAGCTGCCCTCACCTGAGCAAGGGTGTGGGGGTGCTGCTGGAGGAGCCCAGGTGGCCTGGGCTCTCCAGTGGGGCAGGGGGGAGGGACCTTTGCCCTCACGCCAGGGACCCAGGAGGTTCCAGAGGTCACACTCGCCTCACCACTTGGGCCTGTGCTGATGGCCGCACGGCTCACCCGCGCACTGCAGGTTCCTCTGGCTCCTTCTCCCAGCAGGAGGAAACCTTTGGTCATGAGGAATTTAAAGACCTGCTGCCTAAGCTGCTTTTCTCTTCATTTAAAAAAAGGTTGGGAACAACACAGCCTGAGTTTTCTTTTCCTCTCCCCATCTGTGTGAACCCAGTAAAACTGGGGAGTGACCCCTGCGGCTGTGCGCTGAGGCCAGGGGGTTCTGTGAGCAGGGCAGTCACCAGGAGTGACCGCCCGTCTCCCGCTGGGCCTGTCTGTCTGAGTTGGGAAAGGGTCAGCCTGGAGATGCTGCAGGGCCCCCTCTGCTCGTCAGGGCTCGCCCTGGCAGACCACCTGTGAGAGCGAAGGGAAACGCCGTCCCCTCCCCCTTCGGGACGGACGCCCCTGCCCGCCTGCCAGCCTGCCTGTATGAGAGTCCAGATGCCCCATGTCATCCTCCCCCCACACCCAGGACCCCACCAGCCCCCCTCTTGGCTGCAGGGGGCCCCGGCCTCGCCTAGAAGCCCTACCGCCCCATGGGATCACCCCAATCCCAGGGTGGGCCCAGCCGTGTTCTCAATTGCAGGCCCCCCATGCCCTAGAATGGGGGATTGGTTAAGAGTGTGAACATGGCGACACTACCCAGGACCCGAGGTGACCCAGGTCACCTCTCTGGCCTCGGCGTCTCCGTCCTGCTGATTGTGGGGCCTAGGAATTTCAGGGGGACAGCTGCATAGCACTGCCAGGCTTGCAGGGAGTGTTTGCAGCCACAGGGACACCGCCCACTGCCGCCGCCTCTTTCCAGTACCAGCCTGCGTTTACCACCCGTGGCAGGATCCTCGGGCCTTTATCTTGTCCTGGGATGACTGTTTGGCTTAGACAGTCAAAGGGCTTCAGGAGGATTTCTGAGATTCCTTAGCTGAGCTGAGCGAGTGTTTTTATAAACAGCGCAACACGGGGCTTTGTAATAACATGGCAGCCGCGCTCCGCCTGCCAGGCCCAGTCCGCCAGCCTTAAACGTCAGCTTCTGGGGTCCACACAGCCGCCCAGGCGTGAGTACTCTCACTGCTTCACTGCTGGGCCGAGGAGACCAGGCTCTGCAGGCGGGCGCCAGGTATGTCGTGGGCAGCAGGCCGCACGAGGCGTCTGCGGGGCCCTTGCCGGGGCTGCGCCTCGGCGCCTCACTGACCAGAGCGCCCAGGAGGCCGTGCCTGCCAGGCTGCAGCGGGTGCCCGTGGAAAGCCAGGCTGGCCCAGCTGCCCCTGGGAAGACATCCTGGCTGTGGCGTCTCGGGCGTGAGGGGTACCGCGGCTGCGTGAGGGGTGGGCGGCCCCCACGGGGAGCCCTGGCTGGGTGCGTGCCGTTTTCCGGGGGCCCAGGGTCTGTCTGGAGCCCTCGGAACCATTTCCCCATTTATTCTTTTTTGAAATTCAAGTAGAATCCGCATGACGGCGAGGCATCTTGAGTGAGAGGTGGTGCAGTGCCCCCACCTCGGTCTGGTTTCAGAGCTTTCTGCTCGCCCGAAGGAACCCCTCCCATCAAGCTCTGGCGCCCCGTTCAGCTTAGCTCCAGCCCCTGCAGCCGCCAGTCTGCCTGTGGTCGTCACGGGTTTGGGCACGCGGGGCCTGGCCGGCGCGCCCGGCTTTGCTGCCGGGGCTTCCCGGGCTCGCCCACGTGGTGGCCGTGCGGCTGGGTGCCGGGGTGGGCTGTCTCTGCCCTTGGCGTGAGCGACGCTGCCGCCGGCCGGCTGTGCAGGCCTCCGCTTCCAGCCCTCTCGGGACCTGCCCAGGAGCGGGGTTGTGGGTCCCGGGGTAGTTCTGTCTTGCCCTCTCTGACCCGGCTTCACTTTATTTCTCACAGATCAGCTGCCCTCCCCCATGGGTGCTGAGCCCATGAGACCCAGCTCTTGCTGTCCGCCCCGTGGCAGCCCGAACCCGGCTGACGTGCCGATGGCGTACGCCACCCCTGCCCTGAGCACCAGCTCCTGGCCAGGCACCCCACCCGCTGCCCCCGATTCTGTGCCCCCAGACTGCCTCCCTTCAGGTTGGGGTGGGGGCCTCGCTGCTCCATTTTGCAGATGAGCAGATGGAGGCCCGGTGAGGTGCTTTTCCCTTAAGACCCTTAAGACCCCAGAGCGAGGAGATGGCTGCAGGATTCAAATCCAGATATCTCTGCACCAGCTGTGGCTAGAGCAGGAAATGTGTGTGTGTGTGTGTGTGTGTGTGTGTGTGTTGCGTGGGAGTGGGGTGGGGTCCAGGGCAGATGGGAGGACTGGGCTGGGAGGGCCCCGCTGGCCCCATGGAAGCTTCCTGAAGGCTCGCCTCCAGCTGTATGGGAGCAGCAGATTAGCTGCTCTGGGGAACTCTGCTCCTGTGGGAAACATAGTCAGCTGCTGGTTGGGAGGGGGCTTGGTGAGCCCCCCCTGGGAGCCGGGGCCCTCCCTAGCTCCAGGCAGTAGGTGAAGACGGTCCACCGCCCACCCCACAGCCCTGGGCCTCTGCTGATGGCTGGTTGCACACCCCCCACCCCACCCCCGCCCTGTCTGTGCTGTGTTGAGCTGTGCCCAGCTCCCTCCTGCGGGTTCTCACTCACTGTGCTCTGGCAGGTGCCTTCTCCTCCCGCCCCTGCCCCGATCCTCCCCACCTCCTGGGCCCCCTACAGACTCCCCATCTCCTTCCCCCTGCTGCGGTTGGGTTTCGGAGCTAACAGACCTCGGTCCAGCCCCAGCCCCAGCCCCAGCCCCAGCCCCGTGCTCTTGGGCTGCGCAAGGCCACCGGCCCCGACCCTGAACTTCATCGCCCCTGTGTATAAATCACACTGATGCCACTGCCCCCAGGCGGTTATGGGGCCTGAGGGGTTGTGTGCATCGTCCTCCCAGCCCCTGCCCTGTCCCCGAGGACTTGGGAAGTGGCCGTCCAGGACCACCTGGCCAGCGTGTCCTGCCTCCTTCCTGGGGATGGGCCAGGGGCCTGTGTTTGGCGCGGCGCCTCCTGCCCCAGCCTGACTCCCGGGCCCGTGTCTCGGCAGCTGGACAAGATCGAGGGCGTGTTCGAGCGGCCCAGCGACGAGGTCATCCGGGAGCTGTCTCGGGCCCTGCGGCAGGCGCTGGGCGTCTCCCTCTTCGGGATCGACATCATCATCAACAACCAGACGGGGCAGCATGCCGTCATCGATGTCAATGCCTTCCCAGGTGAGCCGGGTCTGGGCGCGCCCCACCCCCAGGGCCGTCTGTGGGGCCGGGCTGAGGGCCGCTGAGCCTCAGCTGCTAGCGGGGGCCTTGGGGTGCCTGGGCACGAAGGAGGAGCTCGTAAAGCCAGCGGCCTTCTTCCAGAAAAGCCAAGAGAATGCCGCTCGGAGACCCGCGGCGAGGAGGCAGGGCGCCTGGGGCTGCGCGGGGCCGGGCACCCCCGAGTCAGGTCCAGGACCGGCTGCCCGGGGCCCTGGCGGCCTGTGCCCGGCTCTCCCAGAGCGCGTTTGCGAGCCTGGACTGGAGGGCGCCAGGGCCCCGCCTGAGGCGTGGCCTGGATGCCCCTGCGCCCTAGCTGCGTGCCGGGCTCTGGGAGTGGGGGCTCGGAGGCTCGGGCCTCGGAGGCCCCCGCAGGCAGGCCGCCCCCCTCACCGTGGCACTGCCAGGTGTCCCATGTGCCAGGGGACCCGCAGGCAGCGGCTGGTGACTTGTGCAAGGAGCCGGGAGGGAGGCCCTGCACCCTCTCTCAGCCCCCTGCCGCGGCTTCAGTCTGCGGTGGGAGGAGCTGCCTGGTAGGCCCATCTCAGCGTCACCTCTGCCAGAGGGGCGCCCTGCCCAGGCCGCTGGCACGGTGCCTGGCCCAGAGCTGGCACTCCCCAGGAGCCCACGCCGGTTTGGGCACAGGTCAGGCAGACCCTCACCTGGCACCTTGGCCTCCGGGCTCCATGTACCACCAGCCCCCCGAAAGCAGACACAGCACCCTGGGCTCTGCCCCAAGGCAGCAGGACTGTTGCTGAATAACCACCCACGTTCCCTGGAGTTGGCATGACACGACTCTCCTGCTCCCACCCAGCCTGTGTCTGCCCTGGAAACCCAGCAAGTGTCCCGGGGCCCAGGTCGACCCTGTAGCCACCCCAGCCCCAGCTCTGAAGAAGCCCTGAGTGCTGGGGTGGCAAGCACAGCGCCTTGTCTGTCAAGGCCCACAAGGACCTTGGGGCTCGGTTCCGAGCCCAGTTCCACCACCTCAGGGTTGTCCTGTCTGAACCCTGAGGCTGATCCAGGCCCTGCTCCCGGGGCCGCAGGATGCCTCTGGCCAAGGCACGTGGAGCCGCAGCCCGGCCGCAGGGTGGAGGCCTCTCACCGCCCTGACCTGCCTGCGAGGTCACGCGGCCTCCTGCGAGTTTCCTTTGCCTTTGGGCCAGTGATTTTACTTTCTGGGCCTTTGTTTCCCATCTGTGAAATGGGAAGAGAGTTGTGAAATTTGGGGACCAGGGGTACACGCAGGAATCGGAGTGCATACCGGCCACTTCACCCACTTCGTTGTGGCCCCCGCACCTGCCTCCTCGGCCGGGGCGGGCTCACGGCCCAGGGGCCGTGGACATGTCAGCGGCCCTCCCGCCCAGCCCCGGTGGGCTCTTCTACGAAAGGCCACGCGGCCCGTTTCTGCACCGTTCTCCTACCCCCACCTGCGCTGACGGCTGAGAACAGCACAGAGGGCACAAGAGGGTTTCAGTCACCCCTCAGCACCAGGCCCGGTGTGGGTGTCAGGGATGTCGGTGCCAGGGTCTCCTCCCAAAGCGCGTACCCTGGTTCATGTTCAGGGGTACACTCCCTGCCATGCTGGCTGTTCTTGGAGCGGTGCGCCCATTCCCATCCCTCCGACCAGGCGGGCGGTAGCATCTCCACCCCCGCCTCCCCCGCCTGGGGTTCTCTGGGAGTCAGCAGAATTCTTGCCCTTGTTCCAGAACCTGCTTGTTGGCTCTGAGGACATGTTTGCTGACATCTGCATCTGTGCTGAGAAATGTGGGCCCCAGCAGGCACTGGGCTTCTGCTCTGGAGAC